ATCCCATCATTAACCATTTTTAATCCCATCATTAACCATTATTAATCCCATCATGAACCATTTTTAATCCCATCATTAACCATTATTAATCCCATCATTAACCATTATTAATCCCATCATTAACCATTATTAATCCCATCATTAACCACTATTAATCCCATCATTAACCATCATTAAATGAAATTAAATGGCTGTTTTGCCAGCAAAGATGATCAATCACTGGATTTGAGTAGGACCCACTGATATCCAAGGCCCTGGAGATGGAACATCTAGGGGTGAGTGACTTGCAGACCGCCAAATGACGACCGTCCAAGTCATTGTCCAAATTTTGTATCTGTTTTTTTTTGGATGTAATATATGTACAGTATATATACTATAGATATAGATAGAAATAGTTATATATATATATTATACAAATATATGTAGATATATATATATATGTCGCCCAGGTACGGCACCCTGTTGACGGTGGAGGAACGACTTGATCGCCTGGAGGTCCAAGGGCCATTTCTCGGGTCATTTTTGTTGGTCCGTCAGAGGAAAATGATGGATTAATCACGGTATTTCATAGGGATTTCATCAAGAACAGATGGTATTTCTATGGATTTATGGTTGATTTCTATGAATTTATGGTTAATCTTAATGGGAATTGAATTAAGGAAACATGGGAGTTTCATGAAGAAAACAAGGTATTTCATGGTATTTCTATGGATTTATGGTTGATTTTATGATGGCGAAGTTGGTAAACATAGTTCCAATGATATTTGAACTACTTAATGGGGCATACCAGCAAGTGGTGTAAACCGCCAAATTTGATGCTTGGATCCAAAATCAATCCCGTGACACGATTTAACATTCCCGTGCCAGGTTTGTGTGATTTGTTTTTTGTTCTGAACATTTAAGAACAAACCAAAGTCTATGATATTTTGAACAGCCCAAAGTTGATCAATGTTTCTCATCATATTCCAGCCTAAGGATTCTTTCCAGGTATCTCAAAAGTGCTATTTTTGGGGGATTAGACCCCCATCTTCAGACATTTTGGAGCCCGCAGGTCTTCGTTTCCGTCTTCCTGGTGGCATCTCTAGCCGCCCTCGGAAGCATCTTCAAGGAAGGGAAATGCCTTGGTTCATTGGTGGAGTATGTTGATTGTCTATGATTGTCCTCAGATACACAACTTCAATCATATTCAGATATAGCTAATATCAATACTAATATTGAATCATATATCAACAATTTTAATCATTCATATCGTATGCATTCATATGTAATATACTCAAATCACTAATATTGCATCATGTATATATATACATATATATATATATATAGATAGATATATCATATATCAATATTGGGGTATTGAGACATATTTCAAGATCATCGCTGATGAAACCGGCCGGTATCTCAACGCTTCCGATGCCTCGAGTTGCCCGTTGGATGATTGAGGGTCTAGGTTGATGTTTTTTAAGATCCTAGCCAAGAGATTTACAGTTTCCCTGGGAAAACCTGGTATTTGCTCCATGGCAAAGAAATCCTATGACATCAGGGTACAAGTTTTTCACCATACCCCCTGACCTCCGTTTTCAACGCACAGGCCTCACCGCCAGCGCAAAAAAAAATGGTGCCGGCTGCTGACGTGACAATGTTGAAACAAGAAACATCAATGAACAGATCGGCATATTGCCAAAAAAGTGTGGCATCTAATATTCATATATATATATATTCATATATATATATATTATAATCGAATCATATATAGTTATATATATATATATTATAATATGAATATCCATAATAAGTGCTGGCAGCCTGTCCAAAACTCTTGATGTGACCATACTTGGAAGTATGAGACAGCAAAGGAATTTCCTGGTATTGCCTATTGCCTTCACCTGTGAAGCAATGAATGCTTTGGCATATGTATATATGTTTGTAATCCATGTGTCTACTGTTGCTTTCCGTTTTGGACCGAATTGTCTCAGTATGCATATTTGATACGCTTTGTGGGTTTGTTTTTAGAAACTGCAACCGTCACATATTATTTGCAGAGCATTCTTGGAAACCAAAGATGATACCGCCCACAGCCGCAACCCACCGATCTCTACATTGAGAATAAATCTACTATTTGAATGCTGATACAAATGATAGGTTATGACAGCACACATATATGATATGTAGAATTATGTAGATACATATGAAAGCCAGAGCCACAATAAGATATTATGATTATCATATGCGTTATTATTTAAGCTTGGCCAATGCCAAAGTGCAGAGGCCAAGTGTTTGACGTACTGGTACCATGGCGGGTCGGTCGCAGGTGGAAGGTGCCTCGTTTTTTTTTTTCGGTCGAACGGATGTGGAGAAAAGTCCTGAATTTTCCTGAAACTATCAAGATTACCTTAGGAATACAATACACAAAAATGTGGAAAACCACATGTTTTTCCGTTCGGACAATAAATTCTCTACAAATGGTGGGGAAAACCACATGTGTTTGGTATCTTTACAGGAGGGTCATGAAAAACTATAAAGATCAACTATGAACATCTTCCCTGAAGTCATTCGAACCAATTTTAAAAGGCAGTCTCCCAGATCGAATTCCGAAGTTGAAAAATTATGCGCAGGTCTTCGTTGTCCAATCACGATCTGTTGATGGAGTCAAAGAGGTTTTCAGTATGGTAGGAGCCGATTTACTATTTTGGATCAGTTGTTTTACTGTGGTCCATGAGCTGTTACTAAGAGATTTACTGATTTACTATATACAGTTTTAGTGTGTTTCTTTGTCTTTCTATGTGTTACTTTCATTCTTTTGGGATTTCTCAGCTACATAGTTGCTGAAAGAAGCCGTGAAGCAACAATCTGCAAAGATGTTTATTGAAGTTCACTGTGTAAAATCAAGTTTCAGGATTCTAGAGGAAACCAAACCGCTGGTTTCAGTCTCAGTGATTTCTTATTTACACAAAGGAAATTGTCCGGTTGCTTTAATCCATCCTCCAATGAAAAATCCCAATTATATAACAACCATAGAGAACCATCATCATGATTGGGATATGTCATCATTATTTTATCCCAAAAGGAATTCTAAACACAACTTCCAAATCCTCCCAAATCCCAATGTTAGAATTCAGCTTCTTGATCCACCATCCCCAATGGGTGGTATAAACCATCAATTCAAAATGGAAGATGACAGGTTTATGACATTGCCAACTGCCAACCATGGATCAATGTTTTTTTTGCAAGAAAAAGTGATAAAATATGATAAATGATGCTTGGTTCATGATTAAAAGCAAGACTTATATACTAACCAAGATGATTTCATCCCAGAATTTCAAATTGTAAACCCTTCGTCAGTTGCATTTCGCTCATAATTTTTCCCCACCCCAAGGCCAGCGGAGTCTCAGCAGCGCGGAACGGCAAGCGCTGCAAGTGGCCAGGAAGGCCATGCAGAAGGTGCCAGGGCAGCGCCAGGAAAACATAAAACGACATTTACCCTCTGGTGATTTAACGTAGCCATGGAAAATCACAATTTTTAAGAGGTAAATCATCATGAATCATCCATAAACCGGCCATTGTCCATAGCTATGTTAAATAACCAGAGGGTAAATATAGTAAATACGGTAACGACAATCAATGATACGATATCTCCATTAAAAGTCCGTATATTGTAGCTACCGGATGTTGCCGTACATTAATGGAGAAAAACCTGCAAGTATTATTCATGGTTAATGGTTAATAGATGTTGATAGATAATCGTGGAGAAAAAGCTGCAAATATGTCTGAATTATTCATTGTTGATGGTTAAACTTGTTAAATGATGGTTCATACGTTAATTCATCATTGCAACAACGTTGATGTTGATTGTTGTTTTTGTTTTTATTGTTTGAAGAAAAAGCACATGGGAATTCTGAAAGGGAATGGTTAAATCAAGTTCAAGAAACAACTTAGCAAAGTTTGGGGCGGCCCTGCATAGGTCATACACTAATAAAAACATGTTTATATTTCATTTGATGTTTGTGCCTATTGTTGTCGGTCGAGCCCAACCATTGTGACGTGACTTGAGTCCCGAAAAATATCAAGTGGTTGATAAAATTTCAATTAATTCCACTAGATTGCAATTTCCCTGGTTGTTGCTGTTGCGGTTGCTGTTGTTGTGGTTTGTTGGTTAAATCCTGATTTTCATGTGACAATCCCGGAAAAAAAAGCGGGTCAACCCCCCTTGTTGTGATTTGACATCATCATTTTGATGGTTCAAATCCCATCATTTTGATGGCCAAAATCCGAAAATGTGTGGGTTTGATCCACAAAAAGTCATGCTTAAACACCAAATTATACCTTAAATTCCAACTTTGGTGTGTGAATTTCCGACTTGAATTTCTTGATCAGATCCAGCTTTTCATCCAAATCCTTTTAGGTATCTATAAATGGGTATGTGTCAAAATTAATGACTTGGGGGACAGATTTAAGTCTAGCTTTAGTATTAACCATCCAATTATTGTACTCAACTTTGAACCACACCAAGATCCTGTTACTATATGTATATAATATTATATAATTGTATATAATTGTATATATATACCTTGATCCTCAAAAACCTACAAAAACGTAGGATACTCAAAAAACACGAGGTTTTCTCACAAAACCCGAGGTTTTCAAATTTGCCATTTTGATGGCTCAGAGAGAATCCTCTTATTTCAGCATTGTTGCCTACAAACCCCAACAAACATTGGGATGGGAAACTCCTTTACTCCCCATTAACCACTGGATGGCATGGATAGCCAAGATCACCCACCATTCCCGTTGCCGATGTCTATTTTCGGCTCATCTTGGACGTTGTCTTCTGGAATGCTATTGAATTGCCCTGGCCTGAGAGTCCTGAGAACCCTTCAACTTCGAAAAGAAAGCTATCATTGTTCTAACTGTTTTTCTTTTTAGATTCTCTTAAACTCCGCGTAGCAGCGTGTCCTACTTCAGCGTTAGGTAACAGCGCAAAATAAGGTTACTGTATCACACTAATCAGGCTCAGGCCGTATCAGCCATCCTGCTGATACCCAGTGCTCGAAGCAAGCTTGCATGTACCTAGACAGAACCCTATCTATGACAATGCTACGGGCAGTTACTCGTCTACTAAGTCTTGAGGGTCTGCCAATAAAATCTTCATCTGGCTGTACAGAAAAGCACAGTGGCGACAGCACAGCAATATTTTGCTGACCAAAATGGATCATTGAAAGGAAGCAATGATGAAGTACATGCAGCTTTGGCTGCAAGACAAACAACGCTCTGTTGTCTCGATGTGCCTCAGCAGCTAAAGTTGAATACCTCCTGAGAAATTGCATTCCCAACTGTCCAAACCTGACTGCGTCGTTTGGCTGAATCCACAAGTCGCTGGTGTACAAGCCCCGTAGGAAACTGTTGATGGCTTTTGCAGCTTCCCCACATTTCACCAACAACGGCATATCTGAAAAATCCTCCGTGTCGACTAGGAATTCAAAAAAGTGCATCAAATTGGTGGTCAAGGCTCCCTTATGCCATGCCCCGGAGGGGTAAAGAGTCGTTTTGGACCACTGGATACATTCCTTTGTAAGTTTGGAGACCTGGGACACAGTCGAAGTGGATTTGCAAAAACTCAAATACCTCTTTGTAAGAAGTTCAAATCTCTCGTCGATAGCACCTGCAGGCTCACGCTCTGACAAAAGCGCTAAGCAACTGCCTAAAAAGTTCCGACCACCTCCGAGATGCCATGAATGAAATATATCAAAGGCCCAAATGGCAGCAGCTTCGCCTGGACAGTGAGGTATGGAAAGGAGGGCTGGTGGTGATCTGAAAGGTGACACTTGGTGCATTGTGGCTAGCCACTTTGGATTGCGGGTGTGAATTTCCTCGTAAGGAACGTTGGCCCTGCCAGCACAACATAAATGGCACACCCCCTGAGGAGCATAGCCAGCGCGATTGTTCACCCTCTTTTGCACATTGTTGAATGTTCGTGTTAGCAACCCAGAGCGTTGCAGAAATGGCCAATCGCCAACTACATGGAGTGTCATGATCCAGTGCTTCACCCCCTGGGAGTTTGCAACGCCACAAGTGTACATGTGTTGAATCTCAGAGGCTACATCCTCAACCAATGTTTCCCAAATGTGCTCGTTGTCCCCAGTGTAATACTTCTTCGGCAAGGCAGCTAAAAGAAACCGATGAGTATACGTGTGGCCAATGAAGTTCGGTTTTTGCTTGAGGTATTGTTTTTTCACCTTGGTCTGGGCCTTCTTCACCAACTCCTTTTCTGGTTTCAATCCTCTCCCCAAAAGACTGTGAAAATTGAGGCACATGAAAGCTGATCGCTTTCTCGACCGACCCTCGTCGCCGTGCACCACACACGGCGCAGTTCTTTCCAACACCAACTTTCCTTCTCTATGCATTTGGAAGATTGGATGGCTGGGGTGCATTTGTTCATACAACCACCAAAATTCTCTAAGAATCGCTTTTTCCCGTGGTGGGTCTGGCCGCACAAGCCCTGTCAAAACATGGCAACAATTGTTGCGCAAGATGTATTCCATCCAGCTGCGCATACGGAGTACTGGTAGCTTGAAAGATTCATCTTGGGTCTTGAGGTATGTCTTAGGGATATCCAAGCTGAGCTTCAACTTCTTCACTAAGACCTTTTGTGAATCTCTCTCTGAATTCTTCTCACTGCAGCGCGCTAGATCCACTAAGCCCCCCGAGCGTGACGCAGTAGCGCGCCCAAAGTCTTTGACAATGTTCTGTGCAGTGCGGATTGCTCCAGTACATGGGGCCTCAGCGTAGTCAGTGGGAAAGCTTTAGAATAATAAGTTTCATATCTTGGTTTTGAGAAACACTTCGGGGAGATGGGGAGAGATGAGGAGAGAAACATGCTTCTTCAACATGATTTCGCAACATTTGATGCTGAACATGAAGATGCAGCTCTGCATTTGACTTTTTCATACCTTTTTACCCCACTGCAAGCGTGAAACAGCTAATGCCCTGCCAACACTTATGGTTTCAAGGGAGGAATGGGCGGAGGTGTCTTGAAAGACCTGTACACAACATAGGTCATGAACTGTGCGCCGCTTGAGGTCGAACATGTCGTGTCCACGGTGTCACCCCCTGGTCTGACATTGCGGCACCCTTGCATGCCTCAAGATATTGTCACTTGGCTTTGAACAACATGTACGATTGACATGGGGAGAAAAATTAGGACCCCCAAAGGATCAAACTTGCCATATGCAACCAGACAACTTTTGTATCTATGAACCAGCGCAGCTTCCAGCATGGCGGGGGTAAAGGGCTCCTTGCTCGCAAATAAAACGATCATATCGGTCCACCTTGCAGGATCTGTGCCATAACCATAGGTCGAGTTTGTCCAACGCCGCACCACATCAGTGCTGAATCCAACTTTGAAAATAAGTGGTGATTGCAAACGAATCAAAGTATCCATTGCACCAACCGCATGCTGCAGAATTGCGCCAGCATTGGCCAAAGGTCTAGGAAGTTGAAAGCTTATGCACCCCAAGGCTTCACATTGTTGCTGCAAGGTAGAAAGGTCAGGGACAGAACGGAAATCGTCAAATGTTTGGCAACTATTCCTTGAAGGGATACTGCCACCACTCTGTTCCAAAGACCCTTGATCAACTGCATGTGGTTTTCTGCAAGTCCATGGAAATGGTAGTTCCTTGTCCTTATTTCCAAACATTGAAAACAACATAAAGCATATATCATATTATATCTATAGTGGACATATGAAAAATACTATAGCCAACTTTCCTTTGTTAAGTTTGATATGTTGAAATGTGATGCCTCAAAAGGACCAAGTTTCTGACCGGTGACAGGTGAACAAGTCCAACAACTCTTCTTCAGGGCTTTCCATTTCAGTACCATTCATGAGGCCCCTAGAGTTGAGTGGAATGGCTTGAGCCTAAATACAGATAAAGGCATATAAGGGCACAGGCTAATCAGGAATCCCGGGGTCGCAGATCCAGCCCTCAGGTTCTGGCTCCAGCGCCAATGTCTGCATTGAGACCGCGAGCTATGCGGCCAGCTGAAGTACCTGGCCAGAAGCAGCAGGGGAAAGACACCCCGGGTGTTTTTTTTACCTTTCTAGGGTAACCGGAAACGAAGCAGCCAAGCATTTATTTCATGCTCATCGCTCAAGCTGCACATGATCACACGTGCACCAAACTTTCGGTAGATCCTAGACTTAATTTCCTGCGCGAATGCACGCAGGTGACAAGAAACATGAGATTTGAGCTGCCTGGACACCGCTTCCCCAAAAATACGACATCAGGGTTTAGTGACAAATTCATGAGAACCACATCATTTCAGGTTTCTGTTCAAAAGGAAGCATTTGTGTATAGCAACTGCGTGTCCAAAAGCTCAAGCTGCTACCTACTTATCCTTTTTTTCCTTCTTGGTCTTTTTGGACTTCACGGGAACCTCATCCTTTGGAGAAGATTCACGTTTCTTACCCTTGGGCTTATCAGCATCGCTTCCAGACTTGGGCGGCTTTGCGCTCCGAGTTTTGCCAGGTGCGTCGACCTTCTCAAAGAACTTCTTCGCATTCCTGGATGGAATCTGTGAAGCAAACCTGTGGGGTTAAGGGCTTCAGGATTCAAAACATTCAGAGTATGAATGCGAGTCTTTTCACATTATAGACATATACTGTATAATTTTATACTGCATCCAAGTCAAATAAAAGATATAGATGTAATGATGACTTTGTTGGTGGGTCCTGACTTTCATCTCGGCAGCCACGGCTTTGCTGCACCTAAGAAGGATTCAGCACAAAGCGTGCCAAAGTTTTAGCAGTGGTCCGAAAGCTAAGCATCAAACACAAGAGTGGAGTCTCGCATTCCCTGCTCGGCAGACTTGTAGAACCTCAGATATATCTTAATTGTTACATCTTACCGTTTAGAGTTGCCAGGAGGCAGCAAGATTGAAAACTGAGTAAGTTGGACCACTACAGTCATTGTTGCTTATAAGTAACGTCTCCCCAAACTTGTCCACTTCACCCTGAGCCCAAATAAGATTGCACTTGTCATACTCCTTGTCCAGCGATCCAATCTGGTCCTGCAAAGTCTTGATGCACCTGGGCGCCAAGGTATGTGCAAATGCACCTACAGTAGCCACCACTGGAAGAGATGCATGCTGTGAAGATGTGTCTCTTGGCAAGGAACGACTTGGATGCCTCATCCGCACTGTAGTTTTTCTGCAAATCTTTCACAAGGCTTCGCAGCTTACCACTCTTCGACATGATGGATTCCAGGAACTTTTGGAAAGGTAGTTTGGTCTGCCCAGGGCTGATAGTGGATTTCTATTTTCAAACAAGTCCATCAAGACATGTCAGGAGGAAGACATTGAACATATCGGTCAACCATATAAATAAAGTGTACTGGCCTGTGCAAACTTGTCTTGGCCCAGCTCTTCTGGTTTCACCGACAGAGCCCTCTGGCTCCTTTCCTCGAACCCTTCCATGCCTTTGAACTGGCCATCGTATTTCCAGTCTGGCTCGCCACCTGCCTGCCATTAAGGATGAAGGGAGCTTCAGAAACGTGGTTGGCTGGCGTTAGTCTGGTAGCATGTCTTTGGAAACTATGGAGCCTTGGATTGCTTGGTGTGGGATCGCTCGTAACTCTGAGTCTCGGTTCGTTTTCTCGTTTCACGGACCACGACCCAAAACTCGGGGATGCCATCATACATGTTGTTCCTGGGCAAAAGGGCAAAAGGGCAAAAGGCATTTGATATGTATAGCCAATTTTGATTTTGTTATATAACTCGTTCGGAAATATGTGGGATGAACATGTTGAGGCTAGCCACCGGCAGTAAGCTTCACCCAAAGCTGTGCACCGTTTCTTTGCGCCATCAATCCGACCCCTGAGCACTGGTAATCAGGGAGATGGGGATGGATACTTGCAGTTAGAAAAGGACAACCATTTTTCTGTTTGGCATATCTACAGTATATGTCATAGATAGAAACTCCTTCGCAAAGAACTGAGGAAATAACTTGGACCAACCAAGCTCGACCAAATCTTCTTCGGAATACCAACCCTCGTCCACAAACAGCTGGATCTCCTGTTTCTTCTTGACTATGATGGTCAACTGGTTCAGCCATTCCTCCTGCGAGATTATGTGACTGATTGACAATGATTGACAGGCAAAAAAATAGTAGAAGGGAAAGCGCAAGTTGAAAACCTGCTATGGTAAGACATGCTATGGCCAGAAGTTGTGGAAATACATATGACAAGATGCACCGACTCACAACCACCTAGCCCTATCCTTGTCAAAGTTCGCTTTGGTAAGCAAGTCCGCCAACATGTTTTTGTTTCCTGTTTCCCATTCTTTTTTGACCCAGTCATCAACATTCAAGTCTGTTCTCTTGGACTTGGGCTTCACCATGCGAGAGATTCTCATCTTCGCAGCTGCACGAAGTCTGGCCTGCAGAGGGCAAACACGCGATGGAAACCAAAAGCTTGGTTCCGTTTTTGGAAATGTCGAATTAACATATATCAGTTTGTTTCTTGCTCCCACTGCCCTACCTACTCGTTAGCAACTGGCAACTCAAGCTGCGAATGAATTTAAACCGGCCTGTCGCTCAGTGATTCCTGCGGGCTTGGGTTTTGCAGGCGCGCCAGTTTGCTCATCTGGCTGTGTGCTGTCAACTTTCTGTGTTTCAGGTTGTGAGCCGCTAGGCTCAGGGCTGGTGGCTAGCTGTTCAGCACTTGTTGGCTTCGGTTCTGTGCCTGCCTGCTGTGTCAACTTTGGTTCTGGCTGTGTTTCATTCACATCTTTGGTTGCCGGTTGTGTTGCCTCCGTTGGCTCTATGACTGGGGGTGCTTGCTCAGTACGCATTGGTGTGGCTACTGCACGTGCACTGGGCGTGGCAACAGCTTTGCCATCTTCCGGTGCCTCAAAGCAAAACGCAGCACCCGATTAATAGCTGCAAGTATCCCAAGATACCTCAAGTATAACGATATATAATGACCATGAATTTTGACGTTTCCAAAACCATCAATCTGTTGGCTTAAGCTAAGCACCTGTGCGTCGTCATCCAAATCAATGACCACGCGTTCTTTGACACCAGCCTGTTGAAGTTCTTCTTCAGAAGCCTGGGGGGAAGCAGCTCTATAGTTGCTTAACCTATAGATTGATTTGAGATCCTCATGCTCAGGATTTGGCTGGAATCGTGTCCGCCAAGTAGTCCTGGTGGAGCGCGACCTGGATCAAATTTTGGAAACTTTGATGAAATTGATTGACTGGAATTCAACTTGAGACCCATGCCTGGGAAGAACCAGCACCAGCATGAATTTGTGATTCAACCTCCTGTGGTGCAAGTAGCCAGTGGCCAGTGGAAAACATACAGGTACATACAGATTCGAAACCAATGGAGCCAATGAACATGTTTGAGGAAAACAGATACTGAATTTTGGGTCGATCCTGAAGCTGTTTCAGTAGTTCTCTTTCTGCTTCATCATCGGAAACGGGTTCGGCTTTGGCAGCCGTCATGACGTGATCAATGCCGGCATTCAAAGTTTCACAACTCCATAGGTTGGACACAGTCTGTTCAGGTTTCATCGACATGCCCAAACCCCTTTTTGGGCAGGTCGCGAGTCCTGACTACCCCTGGAAAGATAAATGGCCCTCCGATTCTATCAGCAATCAAATTTTCAATTCCAATGACTTGACACCAACTTGCAATCTTTCTGAGGCAAACAGCGGCCACCACCAAAGCTGTTTGGAGGAGCACAAATCCTGTTTCCGCTGCTGGTCTGCATGTTCGACGTGTGGACGGCACACGGTTGCTCAATTCTGAGCCTGTGGGGTCCCAGAATTTTGACTTGAATTGTTCAAATTTTGAAGCAAAAATGGTCATGGTGGGACCCCTCTGAACCCGAACAAAAAGTACGGGTTTGCACGGGTAAAGTACGGGTTTAGCACGGGTTCAGCACGGGTTTGAAAAACACGAGGTTTTCGAAAAACACGATGTTTTTATCCAAAAAGTTCGGGTTTGCACGGGTTCAGCACGGGTTCAGCACGGGTTCGAAGTAAACGCGAACTTTTTTTCAGTAAGGTGCAGCAAATTTCAATAAAAGTCCCATAGTACCATTTTAATGACATCCGTTTTCGAAAGGGCACCACCATGACCACACTTCAAACAGTTTTCCCCAAGGACTTTGGCACAAAAGGGCGCCATTCAATTGGGATCTTGAGGTTTTTGTTGCCCCTCAGGTATTCATAGACTGAAGCGAGATCTAAAAACATCCAAACCTCCGAAGTTTCCCATTCAAGTTCTGAAAATGTGACGATGGCTGGTGGTAACTCAGTTGGAATCTCAGGAAGACCTTTGCAGGAAGCCTTCATGGACTCGACCATGTCCAGGACTTCTCGGGCAAACCTCATCGGATACTGCCTGGGAGCGAAACAGATGGTGGAGGAATATAAGGTTTCGAATCCATATCTACCAGGGTACCTACCATAAGATGGGAATAGCCGATAACCTTTCCAAAACCCGCTTTCGAAACCTGTCCGAAACATACTCCAAGTATGAACCAATTGTATCGAAGACATATATACTTAAAAAGTCCATAAGACCCAATTGACAGGGGATTGACCACAAATGTAGAACGTCACTGTCCCCAACAGATTTGAATATAGATTAAACCTAGGAACTCTGTGGCGCGTAGTGCCTTTGTTCCCTTCCAGCGACGCTTTCCCGTTGAATCCCTGTAGTGTTCAACAGTCTTCACTTTCTTGCCAGATCGTCGTTTCCACCCTTGAAGACGGCCTTTGTCTAACTTCTTGATTTGAACACTGTTGCTATAACACACATGGCGTTTCGGGGTGTCAGCCCCGTACGAAGCCATCCACCACCGCACCTCTTGGACCTGGGCGGGGTATATAGTGTCCAAAAACTAAAAAAACGGAACATGAACATCCTTGAGTGTAGAATTCGTGATATGATTGAAGAGAAAAAAACAGAATGGAGAATTGAATGCTGAAGCTCGGACCGCCATTGGCCCCCCAGTGTTGAAGATCGATTCCGCAATATATCTCCAAGCTGGATAGTAGGACTGATATGAACCATTGGGCTGCTCCAAGGTCCAACACCCCCCCAGTGCTGTGCAGAGCAATACCAAAAGGCATGTCCTGCACAGGCTGCTGATTCGCTGATGCAAAAAAACGCATTCAGGACTTGAAATGGTTTTTATTTATCATGCCCATACATGTCCCCAGGCATGTCAAATTAACCCCAATCCTCTCCAGTAGTTTGTTGGAAGATGCCACTGACTTGTAAAAGTGCAATCTGATGGCCGTACAAGCACTTCGATATGATGTTCCAACGTTGACACGGCAAAAGCTTGAACATTTTAGCCCAAAGTGTGCACAGAAATCTGCAGCGACAGTCCGCAACATGCAGAGAATTGCCAACCTTTGGCACGGATGGCGGGGCAGCAATCAAGAATCAAGTCGTTGAAACCAAAAACCACGCCGCAAAACAAATCGATCAACGGTGCTGAGTTTGAGCGCGATACTAAATCCAACTAAAGTTCAATTGAAGTTGTGAGCAAGGGGCGCAAAACCACTTGCAGAGTTCAAGTCCATGAAGTTTGACTTGTAATGCTCTGGGTGAAGGTTGTCCAACAATTCAAATCGAGCTGACTTGTACATGGCGCTTTTCATACATTTCGTTAGATTGCCAAGCCCCGCGAAGTACTCCAGCCACTCGTACTCCTGCACTGACAGTACTGGACTATAATATATATAGCCATAAAGCATGAAGATTTCAACATTCCAATTTACCTGAACACTTCCAGTTGTGATAGCCATGACAAACCCCAAGATTCCCAAAGCGCCTCCATGGTCTCGAAAGTCCACAGGAGTAGTAGAATGCAAAGAACAAAGTCCTGCGCTTGGAAGGCCAGAAGGGTCGGGGAACTTGATGCCACAACTGTTTGGGGAAGAGTGAAACATCAAACTGGACCAGAAGTCAGGGTTCCTTTGGAGCTCGCAAAGACCGAAGTCTCCATACCAACGCATCGATGTGAACCATTGCTTCCCCAAAGCAGCGTTGGATAACCCAAAGGTCTCAACTCGATGCAAAGATAAGTTGAAAGATTACAAGCAGCCCTATAGGTTCTTTGCTTGTTTGTTCCGTCACTGCAGATTAGTATTGAGCCATCAATGTTGAGGATTGGGTCGTGGAAAGGTCATACATGTAGAAACTACAGCGAAATCAAATCATTAAATGGAATATATGGTTGGGTCGTAAAGACTGGTGACTTTCGGGTTTCAAAGTGGAATTGCAGAGAACCTGTTTGAAAGTAACATGCCCTTGGTAAACATGTTTCTATTGGGAAAGTCGGCTTCAACACCAAGCCCTCAATCCCAAGCGAGCAGGTGGTACCCCTCCGCCCCTTCTTCCAATCAGCCCTCACTTGCCACACCCGGCGTGAGGACCGGTTGCTGGCTGATCTTGGCCTTCCCATTTAAGGACCTGGGTGCCCAGCTTGGGCGAAACGGTCAGAAACCATCAGGGTGGAAAAAACAGGGGTTTGTTCTGGGCGTTATTCTGGCGTGGGGATGATTTATAATGTCTCAGCAACCCTCATAATTCAACCCAGGATTTTTTCAAACATATGTATGTGTTCGATTGATTCAATTTCACTATCCAGCGGGCATCATGTTCCTTTTTTCTAGCTCAAGAGATGGCAAAGCATCCCAGCCAGTCATGGCTGAATACAATTGTGCTCTGCCGGCTGGCTGCTGAAGATCGACCTGGGCCCTGGTGTTTGTTCAGACTAGCATATATATATAGCCGATATAATAGATAGGGGGCCCAAAGCAGAAAATCACAATGGCTAAGATCATGTATACTTCAACATCATGTTGCACGACCTTGATTTCTCAGCGCTCAGCAGGTCTAAGCCAGCAGAGAAACTAGCCCTTCAGTCTTTCATCATTGCGAGGTGAGCTTTTGGCAACCCAAGTCTTTCAGAGGTTTTGTATTGTATGCCATGGACAGGCCTAGGCAATCCCAAATTGATGTATCGTTATGATAGAATAGAAATAATCATAAGGAGAGTAGGGCCGATGCCATCCAAAGCTCCCACCTCCCGCCCTAAGCACGAGATCTATCTAGCGGAGCGCCTTCCCCAAACAAGTTGTTTTCAACTTGACCCAACAGCGCTTTTCAAAAGCCATAGATTCCATACATGGCGGCAAGTAAAGTTGACACTAGCCACTACTGACTCAACTCATCCAGAGCAGCTTGCCCAGCCATTCTGATCATCTCCTTCATCCGATTCAAGCCCCTGTGACCCACCAAGTCAACTTCCTCATTCACCACACCTCTTCCGAACAAATCGTCCAAGTAGACAGCCTGGGCCGGGTCAGCGATGATCCACCCAAAGCAAGAGAGGAAAAATACATGCTCTTGCTAATGAATATGAACAAGCTAGGATCCTGGTAATTAATTATATAAACCGTGTTTTTTGGAACATAGGGCAGTTCTAGACACAACAAAATTGTTGAATTAAAACAAGGGGCCAGCATGTGAGCAGCCTTGATTGCAACAGCCATCTTGTTGATGTATTCCGTGTCGCGGTTCAGGAAGTTGTAAAGGCCAAAGTTTTTTCCCTGCTTCACATGTTTCAAACCGCAACTTGCCCTTCCTTCACCCCAATAGATGTTCAGCTGGCATGTCTGGAGGGGAGGCAGCTGGTCCCGAAGTTCTTGTCGAACGGGGAGGGAGTCTTCTTTGATGTGCTGGAAGTTCAATGCGAAGGTTTTCAACATCAAGATTTGTCCTTCCCTGTCTTTTGGCGTTTGCTCCAACATGGGGACTGACATGCTTTCCTTGCCCTGGGATTTGCTTTTCTTTTTCTTGCCTTCTTTGCTGCTGCTTGCTGGTGCGCTTGTGCGTTCGCGTGTTCTGGTTGCTTTGCTACCATCCTGCTCTGCTTCAACCTGGTTTGCTGCCTTGCGTTTCTTGCCATTGGCACCATTCTCAGTTTCATCCTTCTCAACCTTGGCCTTCTCAACCTTGGCCTTCTTGCCTGTCACCTCGACCTTTGTCTCCTTTCCTAGCTCCTTGGCCTCGCTGCCTGTCGCCTTAACCTTTGTCTCCTTTCCTGGCTCCTTGGCCTCCTTGCCCGCCTTAACCTTTGTCTCCTTTCGTGGCTTTTCTTTCTTTTTCTCTTTTGTGGAGCCCCTTGGCTTGTCACGAACTTCCCACCACCAACAGCCATGCTCATAATCCCAGTCCCATTCCGAATGGTACCAGTCCTCCCAACTAGCACCCATCCCCCAACCATCATCCCCCTGCTCCTCAACCTGCTTTGGGCGGTCCCCTCTGCCTTTGCCTCTGCCCTTTCCTCTCCCGCGCCCTCTGCCCCGCCCACCCTCATCAGCGAGCTTGGCTTGCTTGACACGGAGTTGCTGGTCCCTGTCAACCGTTTCCACTTTTTCCTGCAAAGAACAGACGTAAGGGATGATTTGGCGCATGGAGGGAGGAATGTTGAAAATGAGGTAAACCTCGAAAAGTCTATAGTTATTTTCCAAAAAAACTAAACACTGCAACTTTTCGAAGACCCCAAAATTCCTCATCACTGGAAGTGAAGTGCTCATCATGTCTCTGTGGGCGTTTATGCTGGTACAGATCACGGCGCTCAGATGTAGATGGGCTTGGCGTCACAGAAGTAGGGACTACTGAAGGCGGAGGGGTTGGAGCTGCAACAATGTCCACCGGCATAGTGTCAACATAGTCGCCCCCAAAAGGCAAGGAGTCAGGGACTTGCACAACTTTTCCTACAGGGCCCAAACTATCATCGTGGGAAGGCTCCTAATCCTAATTTGCTTTATGGACATAGTGAGAGAGAGAGATAGATATACATATATAATACATCCAGGGATTGTTTGAAAAACATAATCTTAAATATTGATAATCACGACGGTGGAGATACAAGGACAGTAGCAGCAATGTTCCAGATTTACAAAAACACACCCAGTTGGCATACACAATTTTCAGAAGCCCTTTTTTACCACCCAATATTCATTTTTTGAACCCACAATGTTAAATCCAAATGGGATTGCACTTGCTACCACCAGCCTGGTACACTTGGAGGCGGTGTGCCTGATGAAGCCGGTGTTGGGATGGCTGTCATTTCTCGGGAAGCCTTCTTGGCACGCAACCTGAACTGGTTGGGGAATTTTGAAGGATGAAAATAATTCTCACATATTTGAACTAAACACATCACCTTGGATTTTTGTTGGCCCTCAACCTTTAAACAAGGAAGCGGAACAAATTTCTTGGGGCACAACTGTATTAATAAGAATAATTCATAGTAGTTACGTAACATATAAGAAGTTTTGGGAATAAAAATGCAAAGTAACTCTGCCAATTGTGCCATGATCTTGGCCCGCGTGGCTTCAAGGGATTCCGCACTTCCACCTCAGGGGATTGGTGTGATCGTGAAGAGTTAGTTTTAGTTTCTGGCTTTCCCACTTCCCACCTTCAGCATTGGCAGGAGTTGGCAAAGAAGGCACCCCTGCTGCAGCACTTGGTGGAGGAGCGACTTCAAGGGGAACCGGTTCCACATGGGGTTCAACACGAGGCTCCACATGAGGTTCAACACGAGGCTCCACAGGGGGTTCAACACGAGGCTCCACAGGAGGTTCCACCACATGAGGTTCCACACGGGGTTCCACACAAGGTTCCACTGGCGGAGCAGGGTGGTGAATACCAGATGAACCAGCGTTAGGATCCCCATCATTCCCCGATTCTGATTCAGAACCTTCGTCGTAGGCATCTTCATCACTATCCTGATTTTGGTTGCATAATCAAAAAGTAGAAGGTGGAAATGACATAATTAAGATGAACATGATTGGACCCCATTTCTATGGTGATTTGTACAGTATGCCAAAAAAAACTTTGAACAGCTACTGTAGCGTTTTAAACACCAGCTTGACCAGTCCTCATCCGGGGCATCCATAGCCATTGCCTTTTTTTTTCGCAACTCTTCACGGATCTCATCGACTCGTGCCTCAAGTGAAGGCGCATATATACATTGATTTTGGGAAACCATGGGGTGCCAAAATTCATATACCGAGGGTTCCAAGATATAAAATGTCATTTATCACCATGAAATAACCGAAAAACTGCCACACGATTTGCAATAGAGATGCTTGAAGTGCAGGGTTCAGGACCACGCATAGGTTCTGAAAAGAGTCCACCTGCGCGTGAATTTCAGATTTGAGATGCCATGATTAAAGACCTTTCTGACTAAACATATGTTTGGGCAATTCGGTGTGTTGATGCCCTGCTTCAAAACTTACCCATCAAGCGATAGACACCCAGGCAAAAAAAGTCTAAACCTTTTCCATTGAGAAAAAACTTTCAGGTAAGGTAGCAATAACCCAATAGATTCTATACAATAGATATGATCTCATTTTTTGGTGATGTTGTACCTCGTTGCATTGGTTTAACAACCCCGCCTTGCTCACTTCACTGCGACGACATTTCATTTTGATAAAGCCCAAAAGCTTGCGGATTTGCCACGCGTTCTTTTCCACATCAATCACACCATCAGGCTCCCTTTTGTTCAGGCCCAAAAGGGTAGTGATCTCATCTTGGGTAGCTTCCACAGGGCAAATTGGCCTATGGGAATGTACGGCCATTCGGGCCAGTAGGGGAAACAAAACGTCCTCATTCAAGACGCATGTGTGGATGTCTTCCCCAACCGCCCCATCTGGATGTAAAAAGGGTTGTCCAGAGCGCAAACGATTTCTGATAACAGGATCTTCATCCCATTCTTTTGCCAGCCCCTTTACATCTAGCAAAGGGCCTTTCATTCGCTTGGGAGCCATGACCCCTTTCAAGCCAGCAGGCTTAAAAAAAATTGAGCCAAAAAGGGCTTCCAAATCAGAAAGTTGTAGAACCATGAACGACGCAACTCGTGAAAATTTGGATCAGCCAGTTCCAAGTCAAAAAGACCCAAGGGCAACGATGAACCCTTTACAAAATGTCCCGCCACAACCTGTGCCCTGGAAGGACTGAGAAGCCCGGCCATTGCTGCATCTCCACGTTGGTCATGAAAAACCGTTGATGCAGCGGGCGGAGCGGTTGAGGTGAATTAGATATCTTAGGGGATCTTAGGGATATCTTGGGTTATGGGTATAGTATATAGGTGAACAGATTCCCAAAGCGTACACACAAACTGCATATCTATTGAGTTTATGGGATGATGATATCAAATGACTATATGATATGATAGGTTGAATTCTGTACCTTGTCTGCTTAAGTGATGCTAAATCATGCGAAAACAACGTTTATAGAGCCATCCTGGGAAAACACGATGTTTTTCCTGGAAACACGATGTTTTAGCAGTGCACCCTGGAAAACACGAGGTTTTCATTTTTATCCTGCAAAAAGTTAGGCTTTGGTTGTACTAGGTATATATGTATATATATATATGTACGATGGACCTTCATGTACTATTTGACCGTTGACTATTTGATTCCATTTCAAATTGAAAGCAATCTCCCAGACGCCAAAAAGAGGTTCAGAGAGACTTTTGGGAGAAGTTCATTATATTTTGAATATTTTGAAATTCAAAAAATTCAAAATATTCAAAATATTTCTGTATTGGCTAAATTTTTTGAATATTTTGAAATTTTTGAAATTCAAAATATTCAAAATATTTTTGTATTGGCTAATTTTTTTGAATATTTTGAATATGTTGAAATTCAAAAAATTCAAAATATTCAAAATATTTTTGTATTGGCTAATGTTTTTGAATATTTTGAATTTTTTGAAATTCAAAAAAATCAAAATATTTAAATTTATTCAAAATATTTTAAAAAATAGTGAAATCGACAAAAAAGAGGTTCAGAGAGACTTTTGGGAGAAGTTCATTATATTTTGAATATTTTGAAATTCAAAAAATTCAAAATATTCAAAATATTTTTGTATTGGCTATTTTTTTTGAATATTTCGATTTTTTTGAAATTCAAAAAATTCAAAATATTTTTGTATTGGCTAATTTTTTTGAATATTTTGAAATTTTTGAAATTCAAAATATTCAGAATATTCAAAATATTTCAAAAATAATGAAATCGCCAAAAAAGAGGTTCAGAGAGACTTTTGGGAGAAGTTCATTATATTTTGAATATTTTGAATATTTTGAAATTCAAAATATTCAAAATATTTTTGTAGTAGCTAAATTTTTTGAATATTTTGAAATTTGTGAAAATCAAAAAAATCAAAATATTCAAATTATTTTTTTTTATTGGCTAATTTTTTTGAATATTTTGAATATTTTGAAATTCAAAAAAATCAAAATATTCAAAATATGTTTGTATTGGCTAATTTTTTTGAATATTTTGAATATTTTGAAATTCAAAAAAATCAAAATATTCAAAATATTTTTGTATTGGATAATTTTTTTGATATTCAATTTATTCAAAATATTCAAAATATTTAGAAAATAATGAAATCGCCAAAAAAAAAGGTTCAGAGAGACTTTTGGGAGAAGTTCATTATATTTTGAATATTTTGAATATTTCGAATATTTTGAATATTTTGAATATTTTGAAATTCAAAAAAATCAAAATATTCAAAATATTTTTGTATTGGCTAAATTTTTTGAATATTTTGATTTTTTTGAAATTCAAAAAATTCAAAGTATTCAGAATATTTTTGTATTGGCTAATTTTTTTGAATATTTTGAATATTTTGAAACCCAAAAAAATCAAAATATTTTTTTATTGGCTAAATGTTTTGAATATTTTGAATTTTTTGGAAATTCAAAATATTCAAAAAATAATGAAATCGCCAAAAAAGAGGTTCAGAGAGACTTTTGGGAGAAGTTCATTATATTTTGAATATTTTGAATATTTTGAATATTTCGAATATTTTGAATATTTTGAAATTCAAAAAAATCAAAATATTTTTGTATTGGCTAAATTTTTTGAATATTTTGAAATTTTTGAAATTCAAAAAATTCAAAATATTCAAAATATTCAAAATATTTTTGTATTGGCTAAATTTTTTGAATATTTTGAATTTTTTGAAATTAAAAAAAAATAATAATATTCAAAATATGTTTGTTTTGGCTAATTTTTTGAATATTTTGAATATTTTGAAATTCAAAAAATTCAAAATATTCAAAATATTTTTGTATTGGCTAATTTTTTTGAATATTTTGAATATTTTGAAATTCAAAAAATTCAAAATATTCAATTTATTCAAAATATTCAAAGTATTTAAAAAATAATGAAATCGCCAAAAAAGAGGTTCAGAAAGACTTTTGGGAGAAGTTCATTATATTTTGAATATTTTGAAACTCAAAAAATTCAAAATATTCAAAATATTTTTGTATTGGCTAAATTTTTTGAATATTTTGATTTTTTTGAAATTCAAAAAATTCAAAATATTCAAAATATTTTTGTACTGGCTAATTTTTTTGAATATTTTGAATTTTTCGAAATTCAAAAAGTTCAAAATATTCAAAATATATTTGTATTGGCTAATTTTTTTCAATATTTTGAATTTTTTGAAATTCAAAAAGTTCAAAATATTCAAAATATTCGAAATATTTAAAAAATAATGAAATCGCCAAAAAAGAGGTTCAGAGAGACTTCTGGGAGAAGTTCATTATATTTTGAATATTTTGAATATTTTGAAATTCAAAAAATTCAAAATATTCAAAATATTTTTGTATTGGCTAATTTTTTTGAATATTTTGATTTTTTTTTAAATTCAAAAACTTCAAAATATGTTTGTATTGTCTAAATTTTTTGAATATTTTGAAATTCAAAAAATTCAAAATATTCAAAAAATAATGAAATCACCAAAAAAGAGGTTCAGAGAGACTTTTGGGAGAAGTTCATTATATTTTGAATATTTTGATTTTTTTGAAATTCAAAAAAGAACACAATATTCAAAATATTTTCGTTTTTGGCTAATTTTTTTTAGGCATGTCCAGAACCCTCTGGGAACATGTTCCACCTGAACTAGGGCAGCAAGCCGGGTGCTGCACTAGGGGAGTGCCAGGAGTATGAGATGGGAGCCCCAAGGTACCATTTATAGGATTCATTTAAAAATATATATGCCCTTGTGGCATGGCAGATTCATAGGTTTGTATGATCAGAAAAAAAGGATTATGGTCAAAAAAAAAATGGTTCAACCAAAAATCTACATGTATAAAACAAAGATAAACTAGATGAGAAAATGTTTTACCTCCAAAAAGACCGTTTTCAATCAAACAACACTTGGCCCTCAATCAACCAAAGATTGGTTCTCAACCAGCCCGAACAAAAATGAAGTACCTGAAAACCATTTCGCTGAAAAAAAACAGGGGATTCGCAAAAATCGCATGTGTTTCCCGAATGTGGCAAATCTGTGAAAAAGGCGATCGCTTCCAATTCAACATGAGGTTGGAATTATGCAGTTCATTGCTTTAATGTTTCCCAGTTGGCTGCGGAACGGTGACATGAAAACAAAATGAAAAGGCCAAAAAAAAATGACAAACAGTGAAACATGTGTTTTGTGCAATTCTGCTGCCACCAGGATAGGAACATAGCGGATAAAGTTTGCACTAGAAAAACAATAACGGATTTTTCTGCAATCATAAATGTCGGGCGCTTGCACAAAAGTTGCAAGGAAACCTGCCATTCTATCTTCAGCGAAAAAAATTGTAAATACTGACAGGGGATTTACAGCAACTTTGGCATTCTATACAGCAGTTGGCTTTGGGCGGCCAGAAGTTAGCTTTGGGGGGTTCCAATTTTAGTTGCAGGCCCGCCTTACATTAGTGACTGTCCAATGGTTGTATATTAATTTTGAATAAATCAAAACTGGGTGATCCAAAAAAAGTTATACATGGAAAAAATGAACAAATATGAGGAATTCAGAGGATATTAAGAAATTCACGGGGTTAAGTTGCAATTCCACCAGGCATCATACCATTGCACCGGGAAAAGCGATCAGTTGGTGAATGAAACAGATGCATCTCCCGGAACCCCACTGAACATTCAAATAACAAGTGATGGTTTGAGGGATCAAATACTTTTGGGGTATCCAAAAAAGTACAAGACCTAAACCATCAGAACGAAAGGTCAGCAGTCAGTACGTTCTGACTTTCGAGCCAATGTCGCTGCTTGGCTCTTGCCCTGATGTGACCGTGGCTGGGGTAGTGAAATAGTAGTAGGGGTTGTGCAAGTGGCACAGGAAATGCACAAAGGCTACAACAAAATTCAACCAGAATGTTCAACTTTGTGAGCTGATGATTTGACAATAAATCGACAAACAATTGCAGCGCGTGATATTTTAAAAGGAGTACCAACATAGATTGACAGTTTGACAGTTTGACTTAACTTCGAAGTTTAACCAGCACGCTACTACTGCCAGTTCATTGGTCCATCTTACTACAACGCTCATGGCAGACGTTTGCCAGGGTCACTGGGTCGACGTTTTGGGGGTTGAGGTTGCCCTACATTCAATCAAGTCTTGCAAGACTTACGATGTAATGTCTCCAGGACCCTCAAAATCGTTCAGACACCTCACGACTCATGACCTTCTTGAGTTTCAATTGAAGCATTAACCATGCAAACATACAGCCACTTGTGGAAGGGCCGTATACCATGACCATCACTCGCCTGTAGTTACTCACCGGGTCACCACAACCATGATGATACAATAAGCATCATCAATCAATCACACAGCCGCTTGATGTTCAGAACCACCACATGATTCCAAGCTAGAACAATAGGAGTGATATGGAAGCATGGAAATGAAGACTGCGAGAAAGCGACAACTAACCTGTATGAACTATAAATCAATCATTGAGCAACCAATCATCAGCAACGACAAACACAGTGTGTCCCTTCTTTGCCTGCTGCATCATGAATTGAAAAATGTTTCGTTTATTGGTTTATTGTTATTTATCTAGCTGCTAGCTGTTTTATACTATAAAGCTGTTGTGCTTTTAATCTTTGCATCTTCCTTTTTTACAAATATAAATATAAAACATATACATATAAATATAATACATTACATTGATTTATTTCTTTATTTATGTACTTACCTACTTATTGACTTACATATTTACATATACATATATATATAATACTCATTTGAATTTAGATACGTATTTATTTATTCATGCGGCAGGCTGCCTAAATAGAACGGTTTCCAAAACACAGAAGATCCAGGGGACAGAAGACATAAAACTTGTAGGCAGTCCTGAATTGAAATCACCGAGCGAATCATGTCAGCTCGCCATTTTTCGGGATATCCAGCAGCTTCGTTTCCATCGCCTCAACTGCAGCGTCTTCTTCTCCCGGGACTAAGCTTGAAGAACTTTGCCCTGCCCTAGGCCAAACCCCCAAGCTAACTAGCTTCGGGCGGCCCGCCTAAGTGCCAAGATTCCACGCCAAGTTTCCTTGCGCGGTCCGCGCCTGTGGTTTCCGCCCTTGAGCCACGATTCCGGAAGTCGCCTTGCACACCAACATTTCCCAAAAATTCAACCGGGCCATACCCTAGGGCAGGCCACCCTAGGCACCTGACCCTGCGATCTGACGCTGGTGGGCGGGCCGTGAGCCTGACACTGATCAGCCTGGGGCAGGCCGCCCTGGGTCTTGACACTGCTCTGATGCTTTGGCGGGCCGCCCTAGGCTGACCTCTCGCAGGCTGTCCTAGCAAGCTGCCCTGGGGCGCGCCTAAGGCTGAGTGAGAACAGTCTAAGGCGGGCCGCCCTAGGCTCACCTCCCGGCTTGCGCTCAGTGAGAACAATCTCTAGGGCGGGCCGCCCTAGGCTGACCTCTGGAACCTGGCCCTAGGGCAGGCTGCCCTAGGATGGGCCGCCTTAGGCTGAGTGAGAACAGTCTAGGGCGGGCCGCCCTAGGCTGACCTCTTCGAACCTGCCCCTAAGACAGGCTGCCCTAGGGCGGGCCGCCCTAGGCCTGGCCCTAGGGCAGGCTGCCCTAGGATGGCCCGCCTTAAGCTGAGTGAAAACAGTATAGGGCGGGCCGTCCTAGCGTAACCTCTTGCAACCTGCGCCTAAGACAGGCTGCCCTAGGGCGGGCCGCCCTAGGCCTGGCCCTAGGGCAGGCTGCCCTAGCATGGGCCGCCTTAGGCTGAGTGAGAACAGTCTAGGGCGGGCCGCCCTAGGCTGACCTCTTGGAACCTGCCCCTAAGACAGGCTGCGGGCCGCGCTGGGCCTGGCCCTAGGGCAGGCTGCCCTAGGATGGGCCGCCTTAGGCTGAGTGAGCCGCCCTAGGCTGACCTCTTGGAACCTGCCCCTAAGACAGGCTGCCCTAGGGCGGGCCGCCCTTAGGCTGAGTGAGGGGCCGCCATAGCCTGACTTCTTGGAACCTGGCCCTAAGGCAGGCTGCCCTAGGGCCGCCCTAGGCTGATTGAGAACGGTTTAAGGCGGGCCGCCCTAGCCCAACACCTGGCGTGGAATCCTGGCCCGGAATGCTATTCCGGAATCTTACTCAGGCCGCGCCCGAAGCTGGTGGAGGTTGGCCTAGGGCCAGGTTACTTGGGTCTTCAAGGTCAAGCTGGGGCAATGTTCTTCAAGCTTCGTCTCGGGAGAAGAAGACGCTGCAGCTGAGGCGATGGAAACGAAGTGCTGGATATCCCGAAAAATGGCGAGCTGACATGATTCGCTCGATGATTTCAATTCAGGACTGCCCACAAATTTTGCGTCTTCTGTCCCCTGTATCTTCTGTGTTTTGTAAACCGTTCTATTCAGGCAGCCGACCGCTATTCAGTCATATATATATATGTATGTGTGTGTGTGCGTTAATAAATTGAAGAAATGCAGCTAGATAAATAAAACATAATTCAATAAGCAAAACATAGCAAAACATTTTTCAATTCATGATGAAGCATGCAAAGAGGGGGCACACTGTGTTTGTCGTTGCTGATGATTGGTTGCTCAATGATTGATTTATAGTTCATACAGGTTAGTTGTCGCTTTCTCGCAGTCTTCATTTCCATGCTTCCATATCACTCCTATTGTTCTAGCTTGGAATCATGTGGTGGTTCTGAACATCAAGCGGCTGTGTGATTGATTGATGATGCTTATCGTATCATCATGGATGTGGTGACCCGGTGAGTAACTACAGGCGAGTGATGGTCATGGTATACGGCCCTCCCACAAGTGGCTGTATGTTTGCATGGTTAATGCTTCAATTGAAACTCAAGAAGGTCATGAGTCGTGAGGTGTCTGAACGATTTTGAGGGTCCTGGAGACATTACATCGTAAGTCTTGCAAGACTTGATTGAATGTAGGGCAACCTCAACCCCCAAAACGTCGACCCAGTGACCCTGGCAAACGTCTGCCATGAGCGTTGTAGTAAGATGGACCAATGAACTGGCAGTAGTAGCGTGCTGGTTAAACTTCGAAGTTAAGTCAAACTGTCAAACTGTCAATCTATGTTTGTACTCCTTTTAAAATATCACGCGCTGCAATTGTTTGTCGATTTATTGTCAAATCATCAGCTCACAAGGTTGAACATTCTGGTTGAATTTTGTTGTAGCCTTTGTGCATTTCCTGTGCCACTTGCACAACCCCTACTACTATTTCACTACCCCAGCCATGGTCACATCAGGGCAAGAGCCAAGCAGCGACATTGGCTCGAAAGTCAGAACGTACTGACTGCTGACCTTTCGTTCTGATGGTTTAGGTCATGTACCATCACTTGTTATTTGGATGTTCTTTGTTTTTGGGGGAAAACATGTGGTAACTTTAGCACCTGCATGGATCGCCCCCTGTTATGATATGATACCTGATGAAACTGCAATTTGCCAACGCTTGTTTTCTGAAGAAACATATGGTAGATTCAGCAAGTGAAAGGGTCTTCCAGTGTTATGGTATAATGCCTAATGGAACTGAAATTTGCCCCAAAAAGTTCTGAACTGAAGAAACATGTTGTAAATTCAGCAAGTAAAAGGGTCTCCCAGTGTTATGGTATAATGCCTGATGAAATTTAACTTTGTCCCCACGAAGTATTGAAGGTCTCACCCAAACTATTTGATCATGGCCATAGATTACATTGGTTTTCATCACTTTTTAAAAATTCAAGTTTACTTTTTAACAAAATCAGTTTTACTTTTAGCTAGATCTCAACATGTAGGGGGTGCTTGAAGCTAAATTTGGGCCACCTAAAACTAAATTCTGGCCACCCAAAACTAAATTCTGGCAAACATTTTGTATGTGTTTGATTTTTGGTTTGGGTTGATTGAAAACAAACCTTTGGCTGAGTGAAAACTAAATTTAGGGCCAAAAATACAAGAAAAATGAGGCAACATATTCCTTATAGCAACTTTATGTTTTTTTTGCATTTCAATTTTTGGCTGAACCATATGCTGTGTATGCCCATCAACCTATGAATCTACCATACCCCTAGTGCAGACAAAGGGTTGCCGCCCTAGTTCAGCTGGAACGACTTCAGAGGTGGTTATGGACATCCCTAATTTTTTTTGAATATTTTGTTTGTTTTTTCGAAATTTAAAAACATCAAAAAAAGTGAATGCATATTTTTTTTGATTTTTTTTGAATTTCCAAAAATTGTAAAAAATTGAAAACATGAATACCCCAAAAGTGAGAAGCTGGGCTCCCAATAGTGATCTATACATATCTATACAGTATATGGAAAAAACTCAATACTAAACTATGTATTCAAAAAAAATCCGAATACTAAACTATGTATTTGAAAAAAAACTACTGCTAAACTAAGTCTGGCTCTCTTTCTGGGAATTTCATTTTGTTATTGTTTTTTTGAATTTTCTGAATTCATTTTTTTTTATAGGTGTTTCTTTTTAATCCATCATTTTTTCACTTTTTATCTTTTATGTTATTTTTCTGATCCTTACATTAATATTTTGTCGTAACACCATCAATTCTTAAATATATATTTCTTTCTTTCCTTAGTTTCTATAATATGTTTTAAATTCCATGTCTTCATCTTTCCAAATTCAAAAAAATAAAAAAAAATGAAAAAAATGAATACCCCAAAAGTGAGAAGCTTAGCTCCCAATAGTAATCTATATATGCAAAAAACAACCCAATACTAAACTATGTAACTATGCATTTAAAAAAAATACTAAACTATGTATTCATTAAAAAAAACTGCTGCTAAACTAAGTCTGGCTCTCTTTCTGGGAATTTCATTTTTTTGTTTTTTGAATTCAAAAATTCAACAAATTAAAGCAAAAAATGCATACCCCAGAACGAGAAGCTGAGCTCCCAATAGTAATCTATATATGCAAAAAATCTCAATACTAAAAGATGTATTCAAAGCATACTAAACTATGGTTTAAAAAACATGCTAAACCATGTGTGTGTGGTTCCCTTTCTGAGAGTCTTATTCTATACTTTGTTGACCCCAAAAATCATCAATACTAAACTATATATCCACCCAAAAAAGCCACCAATATTAAACTATGTAGCAAAATAAGGAAACAAACTGCAGACAATGAAAGTCCTGTGTCCCAAAAGCACCCAAAAAGAACAACAGTAATGAGGAGAGAAGGGAAGAAGGCACTGGGAAAGACTAGAGGAACAAGTAATGAAAGAAAGGGAAGAGGAGAAAAGCTCTCTTCTCCGTCCCAAAATGCTGGAGACCTAGAAAGAAGCACGGTAGTGGAGAGAGGATAAGGAGACCGCTTGGAGGGAAACATGTAGTAGAGAGAGGGTAGGGGAATGTAACGGATAATAGGTTTCGTCCCAAAGCACACAGGGACAAGCAAGGAGACTTATACGAAGGAAGACAAGTAGGGAGAAGCATTCTGCCCAAAGCAGCCTGAGAGAAGAATAGCAATGGGGAGCGAATGAAGGATACAACTTGGAGAGAACAAGGGAGACAAGTATACAACTTGGAGAGAACAAGGAAGACACGTACGGAAATAGATGGCAGACGAGAAGAATCAGGGGTCCCAACAAGCACCTAGAAAGAAGAAGAGCAAGAGAGAGAGAGAGAGAGAGAAGAAAAACAGAAAGAAAGAAAGAAAGAAAGAAAGAAAGAAACGAAAGAAAGAAAGAAAGAAAGGAAGGAAGAAAGAAAGAAAGAAAGAAGGGCACGAAATGGAGACAACAAGGACGACAAGTACGGAAACAGACAATGGACAAGGAGCATCCGATGAGCATCCGATGAGCATCCTGTGCGCCGGAAGCACCCAGAGAGAACAACAGCAACGAAGAAAGAAGTGTCAAAACAAGTTGAGAACAAGCAGAGAGACGGGCGCAGAAACAGATGGGACACAAGGAGAGTCCTTTCCTCCAAGCAACCAAAACAAAGAACACTGAGCAATGGATCAACAAGGGAGACAAGCACAGAAACAGGTGGAAAACAAGGAGAACTTTGCGTCCCAAACGTACCCAGAGAAAAGAATAGCAATAGATAGAGAAGTACGGAAACAAGTTTGAGACAACAAGGGGAACGAACACGGAAACAAATGGGAGACGGAGAGACGAAGAGTATCCTGTGCCCAGAAGCATCCAGGAAGAAGAACAGTAACAGGGATGGACAAAAGGAATGGAGAGAGGAGGACTGCAACACAAATGAAGGACTCGGGAATGTTTATTGCCCCAAAGCACCTAGAGGTCCTAAAGCCTAGGCACACGTGGGAGACAAGGAGAATCTTGGGTCCCAAAAGCACCTAAAGAGAACAACGGTAGTGAGGAGAGAAGTGAAGAAGGCAGTGGGAAAGACTAGAGCAACAAGTAATGAAAGAAAGGAAAGAGGATAAAAGCTCTCTTCTCCGTCCCAAATGCTGGAGACCTGGAAAGAAGACGGTAGTGGAGAGATGATAAGGAGACAAGTTGGGGACTAGTAGAAAGGCAAGTAGGGTAACATATGGTAGGGACCCAGGGTAAGGGAATGTAACGGAGTAACGGATAATGGGTTTCGTATGGTTCCCCCCCAAATCACAGAGACTTCCACAAAGGAAGGCAAGTAGGGAGAAACAAAGACCAGGAAATCCATTCTTCCCAAAGCAGCCTGGTAGAAGAATGGCAATGGGAAGGGAATGAAGGATACAACTTGGAGAGAACAAGGGGAACAAACACGGACACAAATGGGAGACGAGAAGAATCAGGAGTCCAGGGTCCAAAAGCACCCAGAGAGAACAACAGTAATTAATGAGGAGAGAAGCGAAGAAAGCATTGGGAAAAACTAGAGGAACAAGTAAGGAAAGAAAGGAAAGAGGAGAAAAACTCTCCTCTCCGTCCCAAAATGCTGGTGACCCGGAAAGAAGCACGGTAGTGGAGAGATGATAAGGAGACAAGTTGGGGACAAGTAGGAAGTCAAGTAGGGTAACATGTGGTAGTGACCGAGGGTAAGGGAATGTAACGGATAATAGGTTTCGTCCCAAAGCACGCAGAGACAAGCACAGCAATTAAGAGACAAGTACAGAAAGCAGCCTAAGAGAAGAAATGAGAAGAATAGCAAGGGGGAGGCAATTAAGGATACAACTTGGAGAGAACAAGGGAGACAAGTACGCAAACAGATGGGAGACGAAGAGAATCATGTGTCCAAATAAGCACCTAGAGAGAAGAACAGCGAGAGAGAGAGAGAGAGAGAGAAAGAGAGAAGTAAGGGCACGAGTTGGAGAGAACAAGGGGGATAAGCACGGAGACAGACAGAGGACAAGGAGCATATTGTCCCCCGGAAGCACCCAGA